TACTATTAAAAGAGTGTTAATTACTTGAATGGTGAGTCACTTATGTTGACTGTAACAAGGGACATTTATATTTACTGACCTTCCAAATATCAGTCAAATCATAGTGATTCTATAATCACTGTCCTATGAATATTTACGAGCAATATTGTACGTCCAATGCCAATATACAATTTCTTGTTAAGTAATTCACAGTGCATTAGTGCTCGAAAGAAAGATCACAAGGAATTAACGCGTCGTCTGTTCGAGAGGAGAGTGAAGAATGCAAAGATTATTTTATTACACGCACCGCGGTTTGCATCATCAGATTCATAGTGACACCACCTGTTCGAAGATCTCGAGGTGCATTACAAAGGTCGAGCTCTGACATTGAAGAAGTATTACTTTAATTAACTTTCATACGTTGCCTAAGCAGAATCAATGTTCGTTTATATTAGATTTATGAACGTTTATTGTACATTTTATCATGTTGTCCATTTATTTATTCTATTGTAGAAAAATAGTAGGTATTCACTCATGCTTCTCTTGGGAACTAAAACTTCAAACACAAAGGAATAGACTGAATAAGTGTGAATCAAACATAAATTTAGAATTCGAGTATTTTTATTAAACAGAATAAACTGAGAATTTCATAAACGTGCACTTTTATCAAACAATGTTTATCAAATTTAATATCCGTCGAACAGACAGGTTTCATAAATCTAATGTTCACACTGAAATGTCATTTTATTTGATAAATGGCAACTCAAGTCACACGGTATATAAAATTCAGTATACGTGTACAAGACGAATTCAATAAACGTCACGTTAGAAATGTTCGTTTTCAATGTGAACGAGCCGGAAGGTAAATTTCAACTTAACAGAAATTCTAAATCAATTAATTATTTCATCTGAAATGAATGTAAGAAATTAGTTCTAAAACGTCCATTTTGAAAGTGTCTTGGTATCACCTGGAAGAATGTAAACTTCTTAATGTTCCACGAGACAAAGTTTAACGGTTATTACTAATGTTTCCATGGTTAATATTACGTCAACGAATTTTCCATAATAAGTTGGTTAGAAATGATGAATTAATTACTTAACCATTAGTCAGTTATTTCTAGATTATTATGGAACCCTGGGTTTATTGGGTTTATGGTAAAATTGAAATTCCACACAACGCACGCATTTTGAAAAAAATACGTAAAATATTCAAGGGGAGTGCTCTCTATGGTGTTCATTAAGAAAACCAATTTTCTACCGTAATTCTGTTTTCTAATTATATTCTGAAAAGTTCGGATTTGAATCAAGATCTGCAATCCAATTATTATTCAGGAACGGGGAAATCTTTCTATCGTTTACGTAAGAAACATTCTTCACCGGGAATTGTTTCGTCAGAATAATACAGAGAGAAAAATTGATTCTTCCAGAATGTGCACACAAGATTACGGTACAGCCTCTGCGGTATTCTCCGTTCAAATAGACTGGAATTCAATATACCATGAAACTAGATTAGCTCTGGCAGAGATCAAATCAAATATTTGGCGCAGACATTCCGCCGTAAACGTGTGATCCTTCATGCGTCAGATACGTTATCGTTTGGAGGTTGACGATATTTAAATCAATGCGTGTCGCGATATCCGCGATAACGAGCAAATCTTGTTCGGTGATAATTCTGTTAAAGTCGCGGTTCCACGGTTAAGATGGCGCGGGTTTGTCAGTCGAGCGTTTCAATCCAAATATTTTAATGAGGTTTTCATTGAGATTTGTCTATAAACAAAATTAAAGTACAAATACTCTTGTCAAAATATGTTATACATTAATATTCTTAATATTAAATACGAATGTGTAGTAAATAAAATTAAACTATAGACTTCAATTGTGTTATTTAGACTAAATTTTCTAGTTCTTTGTGAAATAATTTGTAGAGTTCTTTTGGGGAATAAATTATGAAATTAAGTTTAAATTGACAAATAGTAAATAGTACAGTAGAGGACATGAATTGCATATCTGCGGTTATCAGGTATTAAGTGGCGAAAAGATATGAACGTACGATCGTGATAAAATTAATGAATTTTTGTAATGTGATGTGCCGGGGAATATGTAGTTTCGATATTAATGATAATTAGCTTAACTTTGGTTGAACATTTCAAGTACTATCATTCTACATTTTAACTTACAAACTCCCAGGCCAGATGAAACGTGAAAAGAAGAGACTAAAATAGTATATTGTTCGGTAAATATTAATGTACTATTTTTCTTCAATTAGCGAAAGATATTGCATAAATAGTGAATTACAAATGGATAAATCTAATACTAGACAATAGATGAGTCTAATAACTTGTGAAGAACATGATCCGTACATAAGCATTACGTCATATTTGACAGACCATTACAGTAATCATTGTGAGTCAATGTTGTATTAATTAATCATTTGACGTTACAAAAAGTCCACTTATGTCACCGACTAAGAAGTTAAACTCATTACGTTTATTTCTTTGAACTTTCGAATTTGAAGAATTCTTTATTGACATCACTTGCGTTAATGTTTAACTGTTTAAAAAACAACTTCATATTTGTAGAAATCCTATCACGATACTGTAATAAATTTATATTATCTACGAAGATTTTATTGAGTTATAAACGAGTGTATCAAATTTATGCACTTTTGATCGCCGATATCCTTCAACAAAATGAAATCAACATTTTAACCCAACGTATTAAACTTTTATCTTGTTTTCCATTGATTTCAATCACATTTGTTTATTCGGTATAAAATCTTTGCCGCAAGTCTGGATCCATTTTACAGATCGAAAAGTTAAGGAAATTTTACCATGATAAAATAAAATGAAAATTAAATAATATTTAATTTAAGATTTCAAATTGAAAAACAAGTTTCAGTCAATTTTAATTAAACGGGAAGCAGCGGAGGAACAAAATATATCGAAATTTTTCTATTATCGGCGAATCAGATATTTCAGTGCCGAGTGTATCATAATCAATGTCTGTAATCCAAAATGAAATCAAAGTACAACGATGGATAAGTTGTTATCGATAAGCCGTGCAAAAACTTCCTTTCCAGTGGGCAGGAGACGAATTAAAGAGGACGAACGTTGATTTATAATTGATATCAAGAAACAATAATCCCTATCAGTACGATGTGATTAATTATGTATATAGTATGTACATAGTATTATGTCTAGCCGGACAGATATCCGTCTCTATGCTGCGGAATTAAGTGACAGATGCGTGTAAATATCCACATTGAAACTATATAGCTAGTAGCTGCAATAACACCTCGATTCACGTTTAAGATATGTTCCTAGAAGGGAAAACGTTAATACTTATGTGAGCAAATAAATACCTGGGCATGCATTTATTAATTTTCTTCTTAATTGTATTATCTTTATAACTTTAACTTTAACTGTAATGTGAAGTTAATTAATTAAGTAATCTTAATCTAAGGTTAATCAACTATAATATAAAATTCATTGATTAAATGATTTTAGTGTAAAGTTCCTTAACTGTAATGTAACGTTACTTTTATATTATTTTTATATCTATAAAGTTAATGAATTAAATAATTATAAAATAGTGGTAATTAACTATAATACAAAGTTACTTTTATATTATCTTAATAGCCAGTTTTTATTGACAACAATCTTGTTATGGAATATTTAAATTTATAAGTCGGAAATAGTTAAAGTTTCAGATTCGAGGAGGAACCGTACTATATTGAATAAGTGTTAACTGAGGTAATGTTTAATGTCGTATAGTATATAGTTCACAAAGAAATTTCTCTGACGATTATTACGACGATGTTGTTTGAGTGAATGATAAGAATAGAATTTCGTTCAAATGAAACTGTACTCGGCGATAATAAGTAGGTAAACAACCGATCGAAGAAGAATTCAGTCGAATAACTGTTTGGTCTGATCTTTAGAAACATAGATCGATCTTTCTTGGTTCTTTAATAACACAGATTGTCTGTAACCTTTAATCTTACAGCTTAATTGATTGGAAGATAAACTTTTCAGCTTCGTTCGTAAATATTAAAACGTTTACTTTATTACAAGAATACATAATACATTTATATATAATAATATATTTTTGTAGTTACCGTTTTACAGTACTTACTCTCTTCTTTTATTCCTCCTTTTATTTCCTTTTGAAATTATTGTTAGAAAATACTTGATTGATTCAAGACATCAAGATTACAAATATTTTTCAAGTACACAATATGTTGTTTCATTGCATTTTAGGGAAGGCTTTAAGAGAAATAGAATGAAGAGGGACCTTCCGTTACTGAAATAATTCAGATATCGTTCATTTTAATAGGAATATTGGACTGCTGAGTTTGGATAAACGAAAATGTGCGACATTCATGTTATCCGTATCAAACTCTAATGCATCACGTTAATCTAGCGATATGTCGTATCATTAAAAAATGTTTGACCTCCCTCCGTTCGAATAAAGCACTTTTTTGGGCCAATGACTAGTGTATCCGGGGCAAAAAAAAGCGATCAGTCAATCTGTCAATCAATCAAGCATTTTCCTTTGTGACTCACTTTCGGTGACCTTAAATAATCTAGAACCACCGTTCTTTGTGCTCGTTTAAAGAAAAAGAGAGAAGAATTAATTCCTATATACATTGAACTTAAAGAAAGGTGATCACCTTGAATTATTCTTGCCGTTTCTACTTATTGTTACATTTGAAAAAAAAATTTCATTATTTCAAACTCATTCAGAAATCAATTAATACTTGTCTAAAGTATCACTGTTCCACAAATTAACTGCAAACTAAAACCTGAATTAATGAATTTCATTAACCGATATTCTATACGATTGGATTCGTTAAAGTAAAAATTTAATCAATCAAATGAAATTTGTATAAAATACTCTAATTAAAGGAGTTTAAAAATAATGTCAGACAATTTTCTTGCGATTGATATAGAAATAAATAATTTTTAAAAGAAACTGAACAATTTCTTTACGGAGATAAGTTTATAATCGTTTTCACTCACCGGTGTCGTTTTCGTGGCCCCGAATCCCATCTCCCACATCCTCGGCGGCTGTGGAAAGGGCTGAAATCAAAAGAAGTATAGTTTATTTTACAGTATTATAACTTTTCCTATTTTAAAAATAAAAGCTAAATTTATTCCAATGATAGTTCTATATTAAATGAACAAAATAATGGTATTATATAATAATATTATATTATTATTTGTATTAATCATTGTTATAATTATATTATTCTAAAAATGATAGTATTACCATACAATAATAATGATATTATCATATTTTTATCTTATAATAATATAACGTATTGATATATGAATAATAAATAAAGTATTGATTGGTACAGCTAATAATTTGCCAAATGAACTGATCGTCATGAAAAATCACAAGAAACGATTACTAAATTAAAATTGCAGGAAGGCTAATCTTACATGTAAAATTATTTTAATATTCATATAAAGTTTACTAAACAGTGTAACGGCATAAAACACACCTCCACTTTTCCATCTTGTGTATAATTTCTAACTTTAATTGACTTCTTCAAGTAGACACTACAACTTCAGATGATTTGAATTTCCGATCGGTTACGTGAATATGCAGAAATTAATTGAGTATCGCAGAAAAAAGCAAACAGACTTACGGATTCATAACATGTTTAATAATAAGTGCAAAGTTACTCGCTCCGCTAGTTCATTTTGAAATTAACACTAAACGCACCGCGAACGATCAAATTACCGGCTTTAAACTTTGTCCTCGTTCATTTAACATTAATCAATTTCTACATTGTCCGATTAATCAGTTTTTCAATGTTTGTCTTTCCGTATGGTTCTGTTTCCAATAAGAAATATTTATTGTTTAACTCGTTTAAGTACCTTTATTTCATAATTAGTTATTTTACTCTGTTGTAGTAAGTATAAGTGGGTACATACAAAGTGTCGGTACGTTTAGTGTTAAATGTTATCTTTTAATTAACTTCTGCGCAATACGAGAGAAATTCCGTCTTAAACGAAAAAGTTCTGATACTAAAAATAGCACTAATCTTTTGCATCAATAAAAAAACTGGTTGAAGGCGGGTATTCCAAGAAAATGTTTATCTAATCCTTCCACTATTTCACTTTGCACTATCTATTAGATGTTACCGCTATAATTATTTCTATTAAATTATTAATTTCTATCGCAATTATCATCAAAATTAACTTTTGCGATGTATACGTTTAATCTGACAAATTTCTACAATAGATAATACACAGCAGACAATAATGAACTTTATTTACTTAGAAATAACATTAATCGTTTCCCTAATGTCCTGGAAATGATCGTCAATGGTACAATTGATTCCGAGAATGCGTACCCAGTGGCTGTGCAAAATATTATCAGAACGCTCGCGATCATGAATTAACTTTAATGGATATGCGGGAACAATTAACAGTGCGCGTAAATCCGCATGTATTTTCCTATTTTCTGAGTAACGGAACATCCACAATTTAGTTTCCATAAATGAATAAGTTCCCTGTAGCGAAGAACCGTGAGAAATTAGAAAATGCAGTACTAAATAATAGTAATAGCGAGCAGTAAAAAAGATGATAAATTAATTGAAGACAAATGGACAAACAGCTATACTAATCAGTGTAGTCATTTATTTGTCCAGTTGCATGAACATAGGAATCATGTACTGATTTGATGACTCATTACAGGTACTAGTGCAAATACCAAGGTCAGAAATTCACGTAACAGAAGATTAGTTTAATGAGACCTTTTATAAGACAAATTCTTTTTTTCAGAAAATAACAATTAAACTTACTATTATACGTAATCTAATCATATTTTATCAATTTTATTAGTTACATTTGAAAATGAACAAAAAATTATATTGATATAAAAGTTCATGTAAAAATAGAAGACGCAATGCATTAATTGTTTTAGTAAATGGTAGCACAAACATCTTATGAGAAAGAATTGTTGCGTTTATACTTTTTTGTATGAGACAATGTAGATTTGAAGATCAAGGATATTCATCGCAGTGGAGCAATTTAAGTTTTTCTTCTGCACTCATTATGGTAATTTATTCCGCATCGCGCATAATGATGAGATCCTATTAACTTGAATAATGCGAATTATTGCAAAGCTAAATGAAAAATCCGTAGACGTGTGATGCTTAATCTTTGAAAAAGACTAATTTAGGTGCTGGGGATAGAGTGATCCAATAAAATAACAAAGCCTTCTGTGGAATCGAATCAGTTGCTATTTATTCCAATTTAATTAATTGGTATTATAGTAATTATAATAATGATTGTATTCCATGAACATCTAAAATATTAACTTCTTCAAAACAGCTGATTTTTCAATGACAATTCTATTTTAAATAATTTCTTGATATTTTTGTTTACAAATATTAAAAATGAGTTGCGAAAAATATTATTTTCAGTAAATAGAGAAATGTAGATTTTCTCACAACAATATATTTGTATATAAATTGGCAAGAGGTTTTATTTTCACTACAGAAGTTCAAATATTATCACTTGAAACTAATTATGTGAACGTATTCGTGCACTCCTACAGAGAAATACAACAATAAACACTCCGAGAAAGCACACATACATGTGTAATTTTCAGCTACAATATTAGGTTATATCATGAATAATTAATTTTTATGTGCATAATTGTGACATAAAGGTAAGTTTCATAATGTTTGAGTTAGAAGTGACATTGTTAGCGTAATATACATAGTTTCATTGTCATGAAGATGCGTACGTGTTAAAAATGAAAGCAGACAGTGCAGACGTCTTTACAATATTCTATCATAAACCAAAAAGGTCAACGTGAAGGAAGGTTGACGTATTGATAAAACTTAAGCGTTGAACGTAAACCTTTGGTTCAAAGAAAAATCTGCAGATATGCATGATTCTTTATTAACTATTTAATAAAGAACCATCGAATAAAGAAAAATCTGCAACAGTGCATAGATTTTGTTAATTATTTGCCACGAATACATAAAAATTTAGTTATGCTACGACACAATTAGATCCAATTCAATGAATACAAGTGAATTGATAGAATGTTAGAAATCGATTGACGTAACGTTGCGGAAGACATTATTTTGGGGCCAAGTTCGCGACCTTGATCTAAGTGTTTTCACGATTTTTTTTTCTAGAAAATTGGTAAATGTCATAATGGCCGATTGGTCCATATTTGCCGACCTTACACTTCCAATTTAACGTAACCTTGCAGCGGCTGCGATCGGTGGCCTCCCGACAATCTCGGGCCTCAGAGTGACGGTGCGGAGATTTGAACGCGTGAACGACATTCACGAACGCTGAGTCTTCGCAGCGTTGCACAATCCAAGCGTGAAACAATATTTCGGATAAACGAACACGAACTTGTTTAAATATCGCGAAAATTTTATTGTAATTTCATTATATTGTAGTTTTATCTTATTACAATTTCATTTTATTGTAATATATAAATCAATTAGCACGTCATAATTTTTCACAACAATACATTCATAATTAAATTAAAAAGAAATTATAAATGGATCATTTTAATTCATCTGTTAAACAGTTTTTCAGTTTTACTTTTATTCCATGAATGATAAACAAATATTTTCGTATGCTTACGTAAGGAAACGTTTATGAGAATCGTTATTGAGGGGTATTATTTATTCAGAACATTAATCATTCTTTCTTGTTACATATTTTTGGCATCATTAGGATTTAGATGTGTCAAATTTAATAAAAAATTCCAATTATTAAAATTGTTTATGAAGTAAATGATGATAGTGAAGGTGTTACGTTTAACCCGGATTCTTTTCCACGAATTTTATTAATCCGAAGAATTTCAGTATCATCGATAAAAGTAGAATGCGGATGTTTATGTAAATGCAAATTTTTATCGACTAATCTATAAAAGTCGGAATTAAATAGAAAGTCACTTCTTCCGACAAGAGTTTCGTTAAGTTAAAAATAAAGCGAAATCTTTGTTACGTGTGTGGTTCAATAAAACGGATATAAAACACGCCGACGCATGAATTATATTTTTTATTGTTCCAATAATCTGAATACAGGTTTTTATTATTTCATTTGAATTTGAGTCTCGGAAATAGAAGATAAATAAACATATCGGAAGAAGAAGAAATTAATAACATAATTTAACTATTACAAATCGACTGAAATAAGAATATCATTATTTTATATTAACAATGTAATATAATATACTGTCAATTCATGTTTGTCAGTTTCCACTAAATATCTGCTAAATTATTTTCTTATATTCCAACCGTTTCAGTGTTTCTTTAAATCATTATATAAAGAGAATTAAACGATTTTGGAGGAAACAATAGAAATATAAATTCGTGTATTGCACACAGGAACGAAATATTAGCCATACTCCGACTTCCGGTTAATAGAATGCGATGATGACACGTATTTTACTAATCAGAAGCCGGGAGGAGCCTATTATCTTCCGCGCAACCTATGTATGCTAGAATAAACAAGTGTTTTCAGACCGAGTTTTAACAATTGCAAGGAAATTAAAAGCATTTATATTATATTCTGTAATTAATAGTTGGAAAGTTACCACGATTACACGGAGAGTTATATAAATACTATTATATTGTATAGTTGGTAGTTGAAAAGCTGCAACTACATTAAGCGTTCATTAGCATTTTATTTAAATAGCTGCTTTTCCTACTAATTATTTTTTAACGTTCAGACAAATGTCAGTATAACAGAATCCCAAATGAACACCTGACATTGAAAGGTACTAATGTGGAACGCGTTAAAGAGAAACTTTCGTGTGAATAACAATAGGTGATTCTGCCTTCACTGACATGGTTAATCCAACAAATGTGTTAAAGAAAAGCAGATCTTATAAACAATTATTTTTATTTTCATGTCAGTTGTAGATTTTTCAGAGAATGAACAAATTTCTAAGAAGTAAGATTTACTACAGAATTAAATTGATTTAAAGTTAAATATAATTCAATTTTCGTCTGTGTCTAAAGAGTATTATTTTACAAAATATATTAAATACACTAAATTATTATTAATGCTATCATTATCCACTACTA